CAGCAGCTCCAGGGGGCAGGGTGGCTCTGGGAGCATAGAAGCCTCTCTGGGCACTCAGCGGCAATTCCAGGGCCATGGGCAGATCAAGGTGCATAAGTTGCATTTCTCCACTTGAGAGCACAGCATGGAGGCTCTGGAAACAGTGGCGCTCTAGTCCCACCCTAAGCAAAGTCTGCACTCTCCACCGGCGTAGAGTTGTGGAGTGGTGCCAGGCTAGTATCTTGCTCTCCCCACCTGAGTAGTTCTGTGTCTGTGGAACTGAATCTAGGTTCCCACCAATTTGCTGGGGCCACACTGATTCTCACAGGGTGGTTATTGCTTAGTTACTGGAGTTGGGGAGTCTTCAGGGGTTGGAGAAATTAAAAAGAAGGTCAGGGCCAAGTGTAGTGGTTCACTCTTTAATCCCAACTGTACAGGATATGGAGGTAGAAGGATCATGGTTCGAGGCCAACCCAGGCAAAAAACATTAGCAAGACCCTATCTCAAAAACAATCCAGGTGTGGTGATACCTGCCTATGGTCTCAGCTATGCAGGAGGTTGAAATTTCACTATCAGATGCTGGACCTGTGAAAAAAGAAATGGAGACCCTACCTGGAAAAGAAACTAAACCAAAAAGGCCTGCAGGTGGAGCTCAAGTAGCAGAGTGCTTGTCTAGCAAACTACAAGGTCTTGAGTTCAACTCGCCCCAAAACAGGGTCTTTTGCTCTTCCTAACTGGGAGGCTTGTCTTTAAGACCTCCCTAAGTAGACTCACCTTCATGGCACCAGTGAGTGAGTCAGGAGGTGCAGGGATCCCCTTTTTTGGTGTTTGTTCACTGTGTAAGACACAGATCTCCAGCCTTAAATCTTATCTATCTGTTTATTTCTTGGGACTGAGATTAGAGCTCAAGGCCTCATGCTTGCGCTCTACCACTTGAGCCACTCCGCCAGCCCTGTTTTGTGCTGGGTATATTTTGAGGTAGGGTCTCCAGAACTATTTGCCTTGGCTGGCCTTGAACTACGATCCTCCTGATCTCTGGCTCCTGAGCAGCTAGGATTATAGGCCTGAGCCACTGGTGCCCGGCTTAAGCCTCATTTATGTTGCTTGCAGCTCCTGAGGGCATATTATCCCCAGCCGTTACCATTTTTCTTAACACTGAACATTAGAGTCCTTTGTTTCTTTTATAGATCTAAAGTGCGATACATCTGGATTTCCCCTGCACTCTGTCCCCTCTTACTGAGACTCTCCCTTGCCTTTCTGAGCCACCCACCCCTCCTTGTAGCCAGGTACCAGAGGTTCTGCTGTGATTAATGGAGATGCAAGAAAATACTGGATGTCTAATCTTCGTGTGGTCTCTGCTGTTGTTTTTGGTGTTTTTGTTTTCCAGAAGGCCAAACTGCTTTCTGGTAATATTGAGAGATTTGGTTTTGAGCATGCCAATGATAAAGTTATAATCTCGAGACAAATTTACCCCCTTAAAACTACATTTGTAGTTGGCGTGGTGGTGTGTGCCTGTCATTCCAGCTATGCAGGAGGCTAAGATTGGGAGGATCGCTGTTACAGGCCAGCCCAGGCAAAAAAGTTCATAAGACCCCATCTCAACAGAAAAAGCTGGGCATACTGGTGCACACCTGTCATCCCAGCTATGGAGGGAAGTATAAATTAAAAGGATCACATTTTTTTGGAATTTTCATTTATTCACATGTGCATATGTTGTTTGGGTCGTTTCTCCCTCACATTTTTTTTTTTAAAAAAGAGATGAAGGTGTGGCTCAAGTAGAAGAGTGCCTGCCTCACAAACACAAAGCCCTGAGTTCAAACCCAGTTAAACCCTCCCCAAGAAAATTACATTTGTGAAAATGTTTTCAGGAGAAAACATTTAAAGTCATCATAACTTAAAGTCATGAATTGATTATACCCACAATCCAGGTGATAATTAACTCACTATGGTGTTTCTTAACTCTATTTCATCTCTACAGAAGGACTGTACAAATTTTCTTAAATTTAGGAAATTAGCTGAAAGCACAAAATCCTGTTGCAAAAAATATATTTCAAATAAAATAAAGGGACTCCATAAGAGATAAACTTTAAAACTGCTGGAGTCTCCATTTGTCATGGCAGAGCCCTCAGCCCTTTCTCCCCTGGATCTTAATAGGGTTGAGGATACAGCACACCCTGAAGACAGTTGGGATGCTCATTACTGGTGTGGATGAGGCTTAGGGCCTGAAACAGAGGGACAACAAGCTACATGATGGCAGGCAGCACTCCCAGGCTCCAGGTTTGGCTCCCTTTGGAAAAATGCTAGAATCCTAGGGAAGTAGTGGCTACCATAAAGAGAGGGCCAGATCTAAGTCATATGAAGCTGGGATGGGCAGGACCAAACAGAGCTGCTTTGTAACTTTAGTTTGGGACAGGTGAAGTGAGAAAAGGAAAAGAATCTGCCACTTTGGAGCCAACAACAGGGAAGCATCTGTGACAGTGTGGTTCCTGAAGGCCGCTAGGCCTGGCTCCTCTCCAGGGCCCCAGGGTTACTTCAGGGATGGTGTTCAGGAGACTCAGAGGTAGATGGGGAAGAAAATAGACATTTACTCCAGGATCATCACTCTCTGGGCCAAACAGAAGGAACGGGCAGGACTACAGTTTCAGAAATCAAAACCCTATAGGGGCAAAGAGAGTTTCTTCCTGTTAGGGTTTTGTGACTCCCTCTGTTTCAATCTTCATCAACTGGCTAATACCTGTCATACTTACCATTTTTTGTATGTGAGGGGTTGGTGCTACTGGGATTAGAACGCAAGGCCTTATGCTTTCTAGGCACTTGAGCCATGCCCCCAACCCCATATTTACTATTGTTTATAAGGCGACTTGAACTTGAAGTAGAGCTGTTTTCAAAATTCAGAGGGAGAGGAATTCATAAATAATTATTGTGGTTGCCAGGCTGAAGTCAGCCACTGAGGTGACCTTCATTTGTCCTAACCAATGAAGATAGGAAGTAGACAGTTACCAGAGAAGAATTCCATGTACTAGTAATGGTGTGATTTCAGAGCTTAGGAGGCAAATCACCACTCTTGTCCTCATAGCTAATAGGTTACCCTGCAGATCAGAGCTGCTAGGGAGGATCAGAGCCTCTTGGGGAGCTGGGGCCTACAGAGCTTTTTGTCATACCAAGTACACACATGTGAGGATCACAGATTTCCACTTAAGAATAAAGGGCACCAAAGTGAGATTAAGCTGCTATTCACTATAGCTATGGTTTAGCAGGAAGAGATTTAATGCATAGTAGCGGCCCTTACCCAAGGAAGTATATTCCAGAACTCCCACTGGATGCCTGAAACCATGGATAGTATCACGGTAGTAGCAATGCATGTTTTTCCTCATACACATCTGTGATAAAGTTTAATTTTAAACTAGACACAGTAAGACATTAACAATAACAACAAATGATAACATACAACAATTATAACAGTACACTGTAATAAAGTTATTTCAAAATGTATGAATTATTTATTTCTGGAATTTTCTATTTAATGCTTTTGAATCATTACTGACCTCAGAAACTGAAATTGTAGAAAGTAAAACAGCAAATGAGAGACTACCACACCTACAGATAGGCAATCTTTGTTTGAACTTGTTTTAAATCTTTTTATTTTGAGATAATTCAGACTGAGAGAAAAGTTGTAAGCACAATAACACAAAGAATTTTTGTACCCACCCCAGATTCATTCAGCTACATTTCCTTTACTGTCCCATCCTTGCCCTGCCTATCTATCCATCTATCTATCATCTATCTATCCATCCATCTAGCTAGCTATCATCTATCTATCATCTATCCATCTATCATCTATCTATCCAATCTATCTATCATCTATCTAATCTATCTATGCATCTATCTGTTATCTAATCTAATCTAACCTATTTATGTTTGCCCATCTATATAAAATCTCAGAGATAATATCCTATCCTCCAATCATTTGAGTAACCATTTCACAAAATCAAGGACATTTCCTTCTGTAGCCAAGGTACAATGATCAAATCAGAAATATAATACAGATATAGTACTATTATCTAAGCAACAAGCCTTACTCAAATTTCACCATATCTACTGCTGTTCTTTATAACCAAGTAGGGGGAGGACCCTGACCCATCCAGATTACTCATGACACTTAGTTGTCATGTCTTTTTAGTCTAGTTTGATCTAGAACAGTTCTCCAATCCTTGTCTTTCATTACTGACATTTTTGAAGCATACAGAATATTTTGTTTGTCGGTTGGTTGGTTTGGGGAGTTTTTTTGTCAGTACTGGGGTTTGAGCTCAGAGCTTTGCACTTGCTAGGCACACACTCTGCCACTTTAGCCATGCCTCCAGCCCTTTTTTCTCTGGTTATTTGGAGATGGGGGTCCTCTCTTTTTGCCCAAGCCAGGTTGGACTGCCATCCTCCTATTTTATGCTTCTTGCCATCGCTGGGGTGACATGCACGCATCAACGCACCCAGCTACTTTTCACTGCAATGTGATCTTACAAACTTTTTTGCCTGGCCTGGCCTAGACCCATGATTCTCCTGATCTCAGCCTTCCGCATAGCTTGGGATAGGACAGGATGTGTTACCATGTCCAGCTATTGGTTGAGATGGGCTCCATGAACTCCTTGTCCAGGCTGGCCTCAAACCTTGATCCTCCAATCTCAACCTCCCAAGTAGCTAGGATTATAAGCATGAGCCTCTGGCACTGGCCTTTTTTGTTGTTTGTTCATTTGCTTTGAGACAGGGTCTCACTATGCAGCCCAAACTGGCCTTGAACTTGCAATCCTCTTGCCTCAGCCTTCTGAAGCCAAGATCTGGATGCTAGGTATGGTGAGAGAGCAAGAGAGAGACTATATACAGAAATATGAGTAATTTAAGCATGTTCATTTGTTTTTGTTTATTATCCACTTTGGCTTCCTAGCTTTGATTTTACATGTTTCAATTCTGAGTGTATGAAAGATGATTCTGAATGTCAAAACTATAGGAGATCTATATTTAGAGAAATGTCATTGTCCCCAGTCCTTCACCTCCTGTTCCTAACCACCATCACGCATTGTAACCAATTTCCTAACTTCTGATTTAGTCCATCGCGGGTTTTGTTCTACAGAAATGAATGCCTTATGTATATTTCCCCCTTATTGTCTACCTAAAACACACTTTTTTTTTGGCAGTACTGGGGTTGGAACTCAGGACTTCATGCCTAGCAGCAGGTGTGCTACCACTTGAGCCACTCCACCTGCTCCCCACTTTTTTTAGCTTAACAAAATAAACTGGAAATCAGTCCATATCAGTTCTTTGTATAGGGGCACAGCCCTCCATTCTGTGGGTGTATTTAAACACTTTCTTGCTTGAGCATGTAGTTTACTTCCAACATTTTTCATTTACAGTCGATACTACAAACAATTACTTTGTGCACGAGTATTTTCTTATCTTCAGAAGTAAACCCCTAGACATCTATAAGTGGAATTAGTAGCCCGCATAGAAAAACAAACATACAGGGTTTTTAGATGTTATCAAATACCCAACCAAGAGGATGGTACCAGTTTTCATCCTACCATTAACATATGGGGTGTCCCATTTCTCACATCCCTGCCCATGGAATGTGCTGTTACACTGTTTCATTTTTGTGAATGGGGTTACAGGTCATGTGCCTTTTGCCCACTTTTCTATTAGATACATGCTTTTAAAAAACTTTGCTATCAAATGCATTTTCCCTTTGATTTTCCAGGCGGAAGCTAAGTTGTACACTCGCCTAACACTTATCTTGTTCCTTAACTTTTTCATAATAAAATTTTGTTTGTGGTAATGTTTTAGCTCTTGATACTGATATGTTCACTGTGAAAATTCTATTGAGCTGCAATGTATGACGTACACACTTTTAAAGCTTATTTCTAAAAGCTTTAGTTGATGGGCTGGGGAAGAAGCTCAGTGGTAGATCACTTGCCTAGCATGCATAAGGCCCTGGGTTCCATTCCTAGCATTAAAAAAAAAAAAAAAAACGAAACAGCCTTAGTTCATTTAATTCTATGCTAAATTACCAATGTCTTTCCTGACTAATTTCCAAAGGAAAGCTATTGACCCCTAAATCATTCCCAGGTACCCCTGATCAGAGACTAAGGAAAAAGTGATTCTGTAATGGAGGAACTCCAAGAACCTGAACTTGAAGTTCAGGACACAGCAAACACAACATCATTCTTCTTCCTCCTTTCCCACCTTGCTGCCCACTTCACCAGCCTCTAAGACCTTGCCTCCCCCAAATGGAAACCTCCCCACCATTTCTTCCCAACTCCCCAACCAGAGGGAAGGATGTATCCAGTGGAGCACTGTCAGGATTTTAAGTTTTTGCTGTAAGGATCCCTGGTTTTCAGTTTTTGCCTGCAATCCATTCCCTGTGTCCCCTTCTCTGAGGTCCCTTTGTTTCAATCCTCATTTTCTGGATAATTTGCAATAAGAGAAAACAGATGAGAAAGATCAAGTCATTAAATGCTGTGACCTACTTAGAGAAAGATTCTGACAGACCTGGATTTTTCTACTGTCCTCTGTGCACTGTCCTTTGGAGAGCTGTGAGACCATGCCGTATCTCCTCTCTTTGTATGAGAGATGGGTGACCCACATGAACCTGCTGAGGGTGAGGGGCATGTGGAGGAATGTGTTAAGGTGCTTGTTCACTTGTGGCATCTTTCAGAACAGTCCAGAAAGGAGAGGCCACTGAGTGGTTGTCATTCTGCCAGGGTGGGGAGGACCCATCTCTCACTCAGTTGGACCAGCACAACACAGCCTTTAGAGACAGGCAGAGGAGAAGGGAAGAGGGATGGGGCAGCTGGTGATAGTAGCTGTTGGGATGGAGGCTAAACAGCGTTGGCAGAAGTCAAAGATAAACTTCCATCCTCCTCACCACCTCCACACAGAGCTGCCAGATGATGTGGGCTATTTTGAGGCATTTCCAAGAATGGCATTTGATGTATGTCATGATCTTCCAAGGGAAGCTGGGGACAAGGTATCAGTTTCCACTTCTCTCCCCAACAGAGATGCCCCAGCACGTGCACATGTGTGTGTATTGCATGCTGTAGTCTCAGTAGACAGACACACATACACACACACACAAACACATCTTCTTTCACTCGCCCTCTCCCACTCTGAGCAGCGTTGGAGGTAGAAGTCATTCCATTTGCAAGAACAGGTACCCCAAATACAGGCTCTCTGGGGGTCCCTGGGCATTAGTGGTCCCAGTTTCTGACGGTGTACTGTATTTCCCATGCTTGTGGGGTACAGGTCTGCAGCACAGGCACGTAGGCACTGGAGGGATCCCTCCTGATCTCCAGGCACCGCTTGGTGTCCTTGTTAACGAAAGCTCCACCCTGGGAGGGAGGAGAGACAGGGTTATGGTGTAGGAACGACCTCCTATCACTACATGTTCCCTGGCTCTGCTCTCCCTGCTGTGGTCATAGACACACTGGCGGGTCCCTCAACCCTTACCAGGTCACCAGGGAAAAAGGAAGGCAAAAACCCACCCAGGATTTTAGCCCCTACCCCATGCAATCCAAATCGACATTGCACTAGTGCCGTGTGCATCCTCAGCCTCTCCTGGCAGCAGCTCGCACTGCCCAACGGGGCATGGTGGCATCTTGCAGGACATGGGCCCTTCTTCATTTGGCCCTCTTTCCATGTTTCTGCCCCAGAGACCATGAAAACCCTCAGAAGCACCTTTCCCTTCTGTCCCCTGACTCCTCAGTGAGACTCTGGCAGGGACCTGGAGTAGAAGCCACATTCAGGACTCTCAGCCTGTTTTCTCCACCCTCTGAGTGGCAGCTCCCTGCTTCTTGTCCTAGGGGCTTCACCAAGTTTCACTACTGAGAACTTCACCGACTTTAGAACTGAAGAGTCGGGTCGAACCTTTGTTCCCCACATACAAACCATGTGACCTTGGGCAGATTGCCTGACTTCTCCGAGTCTCACTTTCCCCATCTATAAAATGGGTTCAGAGGAATATTAAAGTTGAAATCTGGCTTAATATTGATGGAGCATCTTGTGCCTGACATATGAAAAGAGGTGCAATAAGTCGGAGTCGATCACTTCTCATTCTTCTCCTTGCTCCCATGTGCTCCCTCTGACCCCCTCACCTCCTTACTCCTATTCCCATGACTTAGCAACTTGGATCTTACCATCTCTTAAGTCAGCAGTTCTCCCAGGCCTGCCCTCTGCTCCTGGCCTTGCACCTGTATGCCCCTGTTCACACCTTGGAGGAGTCACTCCCAGAATCTACACTAGTGCCTGGGTGGGTGGTATTCCCTTTATACCCTGGCCTGAGTTTACAATGCAGTAACCCTGGTCACATTGTCCCCCCAAGGTAAGAAATCCACCCCAAGGCCGCTCTTCTAAGATGTCTAAATCTGCTTTCTCTCCTCCCATCACTTCCCTGCCTCTCATCTCTTCCCATCATAAATTGCCCTATGCCCCTACTACCCCAAATTTGCCTGTCCTAGACTTTCTTGTCCCACTACCACCTTCACTCCCCTGGACATTCATCCAGAATGGATCAAGTGGGCCAACCCTCCAGGTTCTAGAACTTCTGTGCTTCCCCACACTTCCTGCTCCCAGTCCCTGCTTCCAGACCACAGAGGGCTTCCGGATGGGATGCACTAGCCAGCAGACTGGGCTTCCCCTTGTACCTACAGCAGCAGGGCCTTGGGGCAGGGCTGGCTGCTCTGAGTTATTCTTCCAGTTCCCACAGCACACATTGTCCCTCCATCCACATCTCTTGACACTTTGACAGGATGCTAAGATCCTTCTGTTCCACCTGTATCTTCACCTGAAAGCCATCTGCCATCTGCAAGGGCTACCTCAAGGCCTCTCTCAAAGTAGCCGCCCTGCCTCTCACCTGACAGTAGCCCCTCAGTGCTCTGAACGCAGTGTCCTTGACACACGAGAGCAGTCTTCCTGTCTAACACTCTCATTTTGCACATTGCTTTTCTATTGCCTTTAAATGTTCCCAAATATCACAATATTAGAGGGCGATGGAGGGGGGAGCCAAGTCCCAAAGTTTAATTTAACTCATTTCCAACCAACATTAGTGTTTTCTCCCCTCTTTAAGAATCAAGTACCCGAACAACTAGGCAGTAAACTCTGTGCTTCAATCCTGGAAAACTACTGTGCTGTGTAACTTTGGGTAAATTATTTGATTTCTCTGAGCTTCAGTTCCTTCATGGGTGAAATAGAACTGATAGTCATACTTCTCTTATAAGATTTCTGTCTCACAAGGACCAAATTAGATAACAGTTCATCTAACGCTTGGTCTATAACATAAACTCAATAACCCTTGGCTATTACAATCTATTATTACTTTTTAGATGAAGTTGAGGGCATATTTTCTATGACCTCTCAACTTCTATGTGACATATACTTTGACAATATCCCATATGTCATCTGGCTTCTTTTACCTTGTTTTTACCTGGATCTTACACATTTCTTTTCCTTTTATTTATTTATTTTTTTTGTCCTTACTGTGGGATGTTCCCTATCACAGTTTCAAAGAATTTTTAGTTTTGTTTCTTTCTCACTTATACAAAAGTGAGAAAATAATATACTTATTACAAAAATAAGTATAAGATATATACTTATTTTTAACCAGGAAAATATTTTTTTAATTAGAAGCACTTATAATGGGATAATATTGTCCATATCATTTTATATACTGCCTTTTAATGTTAAGATTATATTATGTATATTTTTCTATGTCATTTTCTAAAAATACATTTTTTCAAATATTTGACTGGCTGTGTAATATCCAGTTCAAGGAATTAGGAAACTCTCCCCTAGTATTGGTATGTGATTTTTCTCAATGAGTTGCTATGATTACAACATTTTCTACATTAATCTTGGCCTACATTCTATACTATTTCTTAAGATACTGTTCTAAAAGGGAATTAGTGCCTTAAAAAGGCTCGTAATTAGCTACAGGGTTCTGTCAATGTCTAGGCTTTTCTTGTACTATAGGCAGATCCGTAGGGAACTGTGCCTGTTTACCTGACCACTGGTGGCCTGTGTGAGGTCCAAGTTCTCCAACTCTGCCCTTCCCCACCCACCATGGCTGCTCTCCCTCCTTGCCATTACCTCCAGAGGTTTCTGTGTCTCCAGAGATGTAGCTCAGCCTTGACCTTCACCTACCCCGTCCCTTTGTCCATCTGAGTCACTCTCCTCAGTTGGGGCCCTTCCTCTCAAGTCCATGTGTCTGTGGACACCTCCTGTGTTTGAACAGGGTCCCTTCTCAGTACTGCACTGGCTACCAAGAAGTCACATCCTCTGGGTGATTCAAACAACAGAATCATGAGATCAGAGGTAAACAAAATCTCATCTCCCTCTCAGTTCTGGAAAATACCTTTAGTAACTTTTTAATAGAACAAGTCTGTCAGTTGTGACTACAAAGTAAATAGAGCACAAGAGGACCCAACATTCAATCTAATATCGTTTTCATTCTGTTCTTCAATATAAGATGGGTAGAAAAGGCTTAGAGAGAAAGAATTGAGTCAAGATGAACTTAAAATTAGGTTACACTCCATGAACAATCTGATCACCTCCCTCTTTAGCTTTTGAGTTCTTGTCATAGTGGCCACAAAAAGGGACCCAGCTTGGACATCACACTGGCAGGCAGAATGTCCCATGGAACAGCTCTCACACTCTCTATTCTGTCATCAGCCACAGTGAACTGAAAAGACAATCTTCCCAAATTCTCTTGGGAAGACAATTTTCTAAATGTCTGGGATGTGTATTATTTCCTTAGGATAAGTGATATCTTTAATTTCCAGCAGATTTATGATAAAGTCTAGCTAAGGGAATCAAACACATAGTATTTGCTGAAGATTCTGTGTATATTTGCTGCTTGGAAGTACTTGCTATGTTTAAGAAAAAAATCAGCATCTTAACAAATTAATCTTATGATACCAATTTTAAAATGTGTAATTGAATAATTTAGATTTGTGATTTCATGTTTAGATTTTACTTGTAAACACTTTTAAGACATTTAGGAGATAAAGGATCACTAAATTTAATGTCAGATACTGGAAGTTCTTTTTTTAAAAAAAGGAAATGTATTAAACTTATAGTCTATAATAGTTCAAGAAACTCAATTTATTGAATTTAAAAAATTCCCTTTAACAGTGGTTGTTAAAACTTACTGGGCTTATAGACAAAGTAATAAGTTCATTAAGGATATAAAATTCACATTTGGCACAGTAGTCCTACTAGATCTTCAAACAGGTTCTTCTTGGAGCTTCCCATCAACAACCCAATAGGTGTAGCTGTCCTACACGGAGCAGGCTGCCTAGCTTGGAGCTACTGGGAGGTAGTGGATCCTTTAAGAGAGAGCTTAGTGAGAGGTCTTCCCGTCATTGGGGCATAACCTCAAAAGGGATCGCAAGACCCCAACCCCTTTTTCTTTATCTTTTGCTCATTGGCTCATTATGTGAATGTGTTTTGGCTCCCCATCATGATGGGCTGCCTTGCTTCAGGCCCAAAACCCAGTGTCAATCTATATAGACTGGAACTTCCAAAACTGTAAGCCAAAATAAGCCACCTGTCTTTTTACATTGATTATCCTCAGGTATTTGATACAGTGATAGGAAGCTGACTAACACAACTGTCTGCCTCTGGAAGCCAGCATCATCCTCTGCAAGTTCACTTCTCCAAGCTAATATCCCAGGTCCACAATCTTCCATTTGTTCCACAACCACTTATGGAGTGCCTGCAACATTTCAGATGTTGTGCCAGATGCTAGAGATAAAACAGACAAAACCCAGGCCCTGCCTTCCAGCTCACAGCCAACTTGAAAAGAAGCAAGCTACCAGGCAGCTACAGGAGATGTTAAGACAAAGTTTACAAGAGAGGCCCTGAGAGTGCATGGAAGTACCCATCTCACTTCTGCAGAAGAGAGACTGTGTCTGAGGACTGAGGAACACGTTGTAGCTGTCCTTGTGAGAAGGTGGGAGGAGAGGAAATAACACCAGCAAAGGGCCTGGGTAAGAAGGAGGATGGCCTTGCTGCATTAAGCAGTTCCATATAATTGGAGCTTAGAGAAAGACAGTGGCATCTGGGGAGGGTTACCTTCCTCCACTTCCTTCTAAATGAAATTGTCTAGCTCAAAGAGACTTAGGCTAGGATGCAAAATTCTCTAAAATCACAAGCAAATTCTTGCCCATATGTTCAAATGTATTTTTTCTTGCAAAGAGAGTCCATGACTAGTAACAAATTCTCAAAGAGGTCATTGGCTTTAGGAATTGTTGAGCTAGATTGTTGTTTTTAAAAATGTGGTACCTAAGTATTCAGAGTCATGATCACAATCAGACCGTCACCTCTCCCATCAGGACATCACAGTCCTACCAAAGTGGCCTGAGAACACACAAGCTTTTGGAGCAACCCCAACACAAGGCAAATTCACAGGTAGATTATGATCAGTCAGGTCCCTCATGTCACTGTCACGTGAATTCTGCCAAATTCCCTCTACCCTATCCTGGGTCATTTGATGCTGAGGTTAAAAGTAAGGTTTTTAGGTTTAGTCTCCAGCCCAGTGCCCCCCGACACTCTGATACTCATTAATAATTAAACTAATAGCAGTGGCAAATATCAGTTGAACACTCCTCTGTGCCAGGCACCATCTCATTTAATCCTCCCCACAGGCCAGTAAGGTCAATATTTATTATTTTATTGATGAGGAAATTGAGCTCCAGAGAGAGAATCAGGAAGTTGCTAAAAGTGAGTGAGCTGGGATGTGAGCCCAAACTGTATCAAGCTACAGCAGGCTCCAGTAATTCTCCTTCACAGCCACCCTCCTTACTTAGGAGACTCCAAGTTTCATATCCAGTTCCCAGTTTCCAGTCTTTTCCCTGCACATTGCTTCTCAAATTAACTTTCCTAAAACACTGTTGAATCCAATCAAACCCGAACCATTCATACTATATTTGGATATACCTATCCTTTCAAAAACATGCAACTCACCTGTTTAAATTCCCAGTAAATGAACAATCTGCTTTTGGCTGCCGTTGAACATGGCTCCAATGTGGGCTTCTCCCCATTTCCAGGGTCTGTCAAGCATCGATCACCATTGCCTGCCTCTGAGACCAGTGGTCCCACATAGAATTCCCCAGTTTGGAGGTAGTAGACGTTCTATAAGAGAGAAGGGACCTGAGGTGGGCATGGAGGCCTTGGCCATGTACAGGACTTGAGGACTGCTCCTGATCTCTAGAAACACAAGGAACATGAACTGCCCAAGGCCACAGGGAGTCCCTCTGCTTTCTCCCCGACCCCCAGCAGGACCCAGTGAGGCCAGGTACTGGAAGGGTCACATAGTCTACCTCCTTTCCTACACGGTCTCTGGTATAGCCTGGATGTGAAGCGTCCCCCAAAGGCCCATGTGTTAAATGCTTTGTCCCCAGCTGGTAGATCCAGTTATTGAGATGGGATTGGATCATGAAGGCTCTGACCTAATCAATGCACTAATCCAGTGACAAATTCATCATTTGGTGGCATTAAGGAGAGGTGGAGAAACTTCCAGAGGTGGGGTCTAGCTGAAGGAAGTATGTCACTGGGGACATGTAGTATAGTTGAAAGCTATATCCTGTCCCTGAACCTTCTCTCTCTCTCTTTCTCTCTCTCTCTCTCTCTCTCTCTCTCTCTCTCTCTCTTCTCTCTCTCTCTCTCTCTCTCTCTCTCTCTCTCTCTCTCCTTCCCATCTGCCATAAAAGGTGAGAGGCTCTGCTCCACCAAGTCTTCTGAAACTGGGAGTCAAAATAAATCTCAACTTCTTTCATTTGTTTTTCTCAGGAATTTTGCACAGCAACAAGTAGCTGACTAGCACAGGCCCCAGCTGAAAGATAACTTCTGTGAAGAAGCTTGTCTTTGAAGGAAATGCACACCTGAACTTGAGAAGCTGTCACTGTAAGCCCCAGCTATGGGCTTGTGGTCAGGAGACTCCTTTAAAGTCCCAACCTGACACTAGGACTTTTTCAACAAACTTGGACAAGTAGGTTGTGTTTGTGTCTCAGTGTTTTCACCTGTTAGATGGAAATGTTGTCACCAGGCAATACCTCAAAAGGTCCTTGGGAAGGCAACACACAACGTAAGAAGACAGATTCTCATTTTTAAAAGTCCCCTGGCTACAGCTTGCTTTTGATACCAGATCCCTACCATCCCATGAAGGGACTTCCACTCTGCCTCTCTTCTCTACCCTTCTGTTTCCTTCCTCTGCAGGAGAAGCACAGGTTGCTTCACCTGTCCTCTTTACAGGGAGCATAGAGGGACTGTAGGAAGAGGGAAAAGGAAGGGATTAGGAGAAATTGCCAATGAAAATACTACCTGGAGAATGAAAACCACAGAGCATAACCTTTCTGCCTATCCTCCCTGCCCTGTAATGGAACTGTCAAACGAACAGGAAATACTTATTTATAAGGGTCTCACACTTCCATATTACCCAGAATGCTCAGTTCCTGCCTCTCCAGCATCGAACACTGAACCTAAATCTGACAAAAACTACCAGAGGCTGAGCCGATGCAGACTCACTGGGTTGGGCAGGGAAGTCTGTGAAAAGTACCTGTGGACTGAATTCATGGCACGGATACATGATGGGGGTATTGCCTGGAACAGGTCCACGATCCAGGCAAATATTTTTATCCAATGAGTTTTTCATCTGAAAGTAGAAAACATGACAACACTATTGAAAAAAGGCAGAGAAAGAGAACCAATTCTCCCCAGGGCCTGCATTTTCCCAGTATACCAAGGATACCAAAAAAAACCAGCTGAAAAGAGCAGAGACTGTCTCAAGTAGCAGCCATTTGCTAAGCACTGAGAAACGGACAAACTCTTAGATGGGGTACTGCAGTGATGCCTACTTTCTGGGATCACCACTCCTGCAGGTCCCAACAGTAAAGAAGAAAGGATGGTCCTGCCCAGTGCAGGTGGGCAAGATCAAATGCTGTGTGTGGCTGAGGAACCACGCAAGGGCTGAAGTTTGCAAAGGGATTAGTGGCAGAAAGCAGGAAACGAATCGAGAGTCAGAATGTAAGAGAGGAAGTGAAATCTCTGAAGGGCCAAGAGCCAAGGAAGGGGTGTGGTGGGATGGGGTTCTTGTGCAGGATGGGTTTCGGGAAAATCCTTGGCTAGGCAGCCATGTGGTTTGGGTTTCATTGCCTTTTAAGTGACACAATTGAAATCTGAAATGCAGCTCCACAATACGTACCCTTCCATAGCCCACAATGTTGAGGATGGGTTTCAGGAGTGGATAAACATTTTTCAGGTACCAGCCAAAAGTTTTACATTTCAGTTTCTCCCGGAGTGCCATTCTGGAAGAAATGTCTCCATAGTCAATTCCAGAGTTCTGAAAATAAAACACCAAGCATCTCTGTGCCTTGGTTCATGAACCAATGGGTGGAGGGAACTGAATATTCTTCCTGGTAGCCTGATGGCTATCTTAAAATATTTCCAAGGAAAGTGGAAAAGCCTTGAACTCTACAGACTTTGCTTGTTTCAAAGACATTTGCAAGGCCTGCATGGGGGTGGGAGGTACTCAAGCTTATTTTTCATCAGACTTCTTCCTGTTTATGGTGCTATTTGCTTCAGTAGCACAAATACTCCTCACAGTGGCCAGGACAGGCTTTCAAAAAAAAATTCTGGTACCAAGATTTGAGAGCTAAAGGAGAAATTCTAGAAATGATATTGTGGAGAGTCTAAGTGATAGACTACTAAAGAGGCAAAGTAGAGAAAGAAATGCAGAAACCACTCATGTGTTTGTTGCCTTTCCAGAATGTTCCCTTGTGGTTCATTTCAGATGGTACCTTATAGAAGCTCATTGATGTGGGGGCAATTCCCTTTACAGCTTGACAGTCATGATATAACTCTAAGAAATAAAAAAAAGCTGAAGATGTCCCAGAGGGCACTGGTTTTCCTATCAAACCTTGCTATATTGGGGCACCAGAATAAATTCTTTTTTTTTCTTTTATTATTCATATGTGCATACAAGGCTTGGGTCATTTCTCCCCCCTGCCCCCACCCACTCCGCCCCCTCCCTCTCCCCCCCACCCCCTCAATACCCAGCAGAAACTATTTTGCCCTTATTTCTAATTTTGTTGTAGAGAGAGTATAAGCAATAATAGGAAGGAACAAGGGCTTTTGCTGGTTGAGATAAGGATAGCTATACAGGGAGTTGACTCACATTAATTTCCTGTGTGTGTGTGTTACCTTCTAGGTTAATTCTTTTTGATCTCACCTTTTCTCTAGTTCCTGCTCCCCTTTTCCTATTGGCCTCAGTTGCTTTTAAGGTATCTGCTTTAGTTTCTCTGTGTTAAGGGCAACAAATGCTAGCTAATTTTTTAGGTGTCTTACCTATCCTCACCCCTCCCTTGTGTGCTCTCGCTTTTATCATGTGCTCAAAGTCCAATCCCATTGTTGTGTTTGCCCTTGATCTAATGTCCACATATGAGGGAGAACATATGATTTTTGGTCTTTTGGGCCAGGCTAACCTCACTCAGAATGATGTTCTCCAATTCCATCCATTTACCAGCGAATGATAACATTTTGTTCTTCTTCATGGTGGTGGGGCATCTTGGCTGTTTCCATAACTTGGTTATTGTGAATAGTGCCACAATAAGCATGGGTGTGCAGATGCCTCTGGAGTAACCTGTGTCACAGTCTTTTGGGTATATCCCCAAGAGTGGATTTGCTGGATCAAACGGTAGATCAATGTTTAGATTTTTAAGTAGCCTCCAAATTTTTTTCCAGAGTGGTTGTACTAGTTCACATTCCCACCAACAGTGTAAGAGGGTTCCTTTTTCCCCACATCCTTGCCAACACCTGTTGTTGGCGGTGTTGCTTATGATGGCTATTCTAACAGAGGTGAGGTGGAATCTTAGCGTGGTTTTAATTTGCATTTCCTTTATTGCTAGAGATGGTGAGCATTTTTTCATGTGTTTTTTGGCCACTTGAATTTCTTCTTTTGAGAAAGTTCTGTTTAGTTCACTTGCCCATTTCTTTATTGGTTCATTAGTTTTGGGAGAATTTAGTTTTTTAAGTTCCCTATATATTCTGGTTATCAGTCCTTTGTCTGATGTATAGTTGACAAATATTTTCTCCCACTCTGTGGGTGTTCTCTTCAGTTTAGAGACCATTTCTTTTGATGAACAGAAGCTTTTTAGTTTTATGAGGTCCCATTTATGTATGCTATCTCTTAGTTGCTGTGCTGCTGGGGTTTCATTGAGAAAGTTCTTACCTATACCTACTAACTCCAGAGTAGTTCCTACTCTTTCCTGTATCAACTTTAGAGTTTGTGGTCTGATATTAAGATCCTTGATCCATTTTGAGTTAATATTGGTATAGGGTGATATACATGGATCTAGTTTCAGTTTTTTGCAGACTGCTAACCAGTTTTCCCAGCAGTTTTTGTTGAAGAGGCTGCTATTTCTCCACCATATATTTTTAGCACCAGAATAAATTCTTACCCATCTTTTCAAACTGTGAGCTAACTGCTGGTAATTGACACCTTGGGTGTTAAAGGAAGGATTTTGATGGCTTTGAATTTTACAAAGTGCTCAAGAATTTCTGCAAATTTTTACATTTTTCAGGTCTAGTGCCCCTGGTATTGAACCTGGCTCCTGACCACATCTATTTTCTGGGCTTTTCCTTTCTAGATCTGTTCCACAGTTGCCCACTATCCTGATTTGTGGCTTTCTGAAGACTACTTTAGGATTTACTGTGATGGAAGGGGAGAGTTTGCTGGAGAGATGACTGCTCTCTGTGTGCCACAAACAGTTCAACATGCTTGAGTTCAGAACAGAGGTCAGGGAGAGAAGATGGCAGAATGCACTGAACTTGGGTGAGCAGAGCAGAAGATATAGTCAGCCAAGGAGGTCATTCCCATCCATGTGCAACTGAGCTTATAATGCCTCCTCTTACTTCCCCACCAGCCATATTTATGTCCTCTTAAGAGAGCAAATTCCTGGTGTCAAACCCTATTATGCAAGGAATTCCCTAGAATTGAAGGATGAAGAACATGGGGTCTGAAAGCTAGACTTCCTTGGTTTGAGTCTTATCTCTTCTGTTTACTACATGTGCATGTATTATCTTCAACAGTTTCCTTCCAACTCCTTGTGCCTTGGCTTCCCTATCTGTAAACCATATCCCAAAGGGTGTTGTGATGGTTAATGAGTTAATGCAGTAGACCCACGGTATCCATAACAAACCTGGAGAGGTATGTTCCAGGCCAAGTAGACCATGTGTTTATACTCATCCATCCAGATTTCGGCCACTCGAAGAGCATTGCGTCTCAAGGCACCACTTAGATCCAAGGCATAGGGTTTGTGGTGTCTCTCTAGGTGAGCAATACGGGAACAGGGTAAGATCTCAATCTTCCCTCCACACTGCCACACCTGCAAAAGAAGGAAAAAGTCACCTGCATAAGGGTCCCGTGATCATTAGATTTCATGGTTTACTGATTCACAAGAAGACTCCACTTGGGAGCCATTGTTTAAAAACTCTAAGTTTGGTCCTCCCACTGCCATGTCTGGTATCTTAACCTTCTTATCTAAATCATCCTTCCTTAAGAGTCTACTAAACTGCTTCTCTACTGTATTCAATCTGACCTTGAAATCCTACCGCCATCAGAAAGTCCTGCTAAAAGGACCAAAGGAGGGCTCTCTCTGTGCCCTCAGCCCTGAGGAAAGTGCTCAAGTCCTGAGAGGCACTGTGCTCAGAGCCACTCTCTGTAGACTTAGCTGCCCATGCCTCACCCTCCTCTGCCCAATGCCAGATGCAGAGGGCAGTGAGGCAGACAGAGTCTTCCATGATCTCTCCTCCTGGAATCTACATCCTTGCCTAATCCCCTTTCCTCGAGTGACGTCCTGCCACCTTCTTTTGACCAATAAAACTTGACAAAGGATTATTAGATTATGTGTGTGCTGATCACACAATAGAAGATTGTAGTGTCCATCTTGCTAGAAGATGCTCTCAAACTGGCTTTGAAGAAGCAAGCCACTATATTGAGAGCTACCACACGGGGAGGACCACATGGCAAAAAACTAAGAGTGACTTCCAACTGATAGCCAGCACAAAGATGAATGGTCTTTCAGTCTGGAAGACATTAAGGAGCTGAACCTTATCAATAATAATGAACTTGAACTGAACTAGAAAGTAGATCCTTCCTACTCCAGCCTAGATGAGAACACAACCCTGACCTGATCTTTGACTTGCAGTCTTGTAGCTAAGCTGTACATGAACCCATCACGGCAGAAACTGAGTGTTAAAGAGTGCATCTTGCTTTAAGGAACTAGACTTGTGATAACATTGTTATGAAGTGATAGATAACTAATTCGGGTAATTCTTAGCCAAGAGCTACATGGTTTATGATCAAATTATGCCTATTCTTCCTGACCTTCGTGATGGGAACATACTTGTCAGAACATATATTCTACTATTGGACTTCAAAAATATGGTTTTCGTCCCAATGGATAATTGAACTGTCCAGTCATAGTGGAGTAGTATGTTTTAGTGTCTTCTTTTCATAATTGCCTAAGCAAATTGCAGTTTCTAGGAATGAAGTAGCTCATCTGGCAGCGACATACTTCACTCATGCCAACAGAAGTCCCAGGGATGAGAGTGACTAGCTTGGGTCCTGCTGGTTTAGCTAACTTATCCAGAGTGTTCACCTGAGAAGTCAGTCCCATTTTGTGACTTTCAAAAATTATCTATCCTTTCTTTCACTCTTCCACTTCTTGACCTACAGATTCTCCTTCCTCTGGACCCCACAACCCAGAACTGTAGAGCAAAATAAAGTCAGGATTTAGCAGGGCACTGGTGACTCATACCTGTAGTTATAGCTATTTGGGAGTCTAAGATCAGGAAGTTCATGGTTCAAGGCATCGGGGCAAGACTTTCACCAATAACTGGACGCAGCCCAGCCTGGGCAAGAAAATTTTGTGAGACCCCATCTTAACAGAAAAAAGCTGGGTGTGGTGGCAAACACCGGTTATCCCAGCAACAGTGGGAAACTTAAAATAGGAGGATCACCATCCAGACCAGCCTGGGCAAAAGAGATACTATTTCTATAAAAAAAAAAAAAAAAAGAAAGAAAAAGAACAGCAAAAAGGGCAGGCAGCATGGCTCAAGTGGTAGAGCACTTGCCTTGCCCTGAGTTCAAAGTCAGGATTTGAAGCCAGACTGATATGTTTTCAAATTTGGCTCCATTACAGCACACCTAGCCTGCAAGGACACTGAACCTCAACTTTCTCATCTGCAAAAAGGGCACACCTCCATCTAGCTATCAGGCCACAGCATAGATGTAAGAGCTACTCAGGGCATGGCCACCCTAAAGCACATCTCGTCCTCTGTTGCCCCCTCTTCCTCTCCTCATTAGTCCCCACATCATGTGCAGGTATACCCAATTTGGTTTTTTTCTCCAGTCATTTAAAACTCCAGATATACCTTGCCTTCAACTTTCTTAGTTGATGGCAATCCAAAGAAATTTTGAGGAGAAAAATTAACTCTTGGCACAAGAAACTTTAAATTCACATTTTAAAAGTTAGGATTATCATTTATGAAATAATATTATCAATTATCCTTGCCCAACAGTTTTCAAATTTATCCTCCCTTGACAAGACAAGATTCTCTCTCTCTCCCTCCCTCTCTCTCTCTCTCTCTCCCCCTTTCTCTTTGTCCCTCCCTCTCTCTGCCCTTCATCTCCTCTGACACACAGACATGAAACTTCTACTTGTAATAGCAACGGATAACTTGGCATCACACCCTATCCTTAGAACTTTTCATAAAGTTAACCTTCACTCTCCGACATCACTATTATCCTAATTTAATTAACTTTCCCACATTTCTCAGCTAGCACATGACAGAGTTGGAGTCTGAACTCAGGCATCCACATGTTGGCATTCCTTTCCTGCCCATCATCTCTCATCACACACCCCCAGGAGCACCAGCACTGCTGTGACCTCTAGGTGTCAGAAAAAAAGCCCTGCAGCTCTGGTGACCTCTGGTGACAGATTCTAACAAGTACTTAGGAAGAAATGCCAGCTTCACCAGCCATCGGGGAAATGCAAATTAAAATCACAATGAGAGGGCTGGTGGAGTGGCTTAAGTGGTAGAGCAGCTGTCTAGCAAGCGTGAGGCCCTGAGTTCAAACCACAGAAAAAACACAGTGAGGTATCCCCTCTCCCCAGTTACAATTCCTGTCATCAAAAAGACAAAAATATATAAATGAACAAAGCTGGCATGGATTCAAAGAAAAGGGAACTCTTACACACCATTGGAAGAAATGTAAATTAGTGCAAGTACTATGAAAACAGCATGAAGTTTCCTTTAAAAACTAAAAACAGAACTACCCTGTCATCCAGCAATCCCACTTCTGTATACCAATCCAAAGGAAACGATATCAAAGAGATAGCTGCACTCTCATGTTTATTACAGCATAATTCACAATAGCCAAGATAAGAAACCAATCAAAATGACCATCAGTGGATGAACGGATAAGGAAAATGTGGCTTTCTACCATACAAATGGGATACTATTCAGCCATAAAGAAGGATGAAAATCCTATGATTTGTGGCAAGCTGGATGGACATGGAGGCCATGATTGTAAGTGAAATAAGCCAGGTACAGGAAGACAAATGTCCCATGACCTCACTTATATGTGGAATCTAAAGAGGTTATGTCATAGAAGCTGACTGTTGAACAGTGGTTGCCAGAGTCTTGGGGGAATAGGGGACAGGAGATGAGAAGATGTTGGTCAATGGACACCATGCTTTAGGAGGAATACATTCTCTGCTTTTGACTATTCTCACTATAAAGGCGTGATAAAAAGTTAAGATGATGGATATGCTAATTTCCCTCATCACACAGTGTATACATAAATCAAAATAATAATGTGATGACATTACACTGTATAAATGTATACAATCATTAGGTGTCAATTTAAAAAGCAAAAATAATAACCACCAAAAGTGGACTTGAAAAAGGAAAACCAATAGGAAAAAAGCAATAACAAACAAACAAAGAAGGCAAATAATGGGCCTGGGGGCATGACTCAAGTGGAAGAGCAACTGTCCAGCAAGCACAGGGCCCTGAGTTCCAACCCAAGTACTGCCAAAAAGCAAAACAGTTGCACAAACAAACCAGAGAATCTGTAGTATATAAATGTTTTATCCAATAAAAGGAATGACCCTTCTCTTGGCAATCCCTATCTTTTCAGTAAAGTCTATTTTTAAAGTCACAAAATATTTTTTTAAATAAGATTTCTTGTAGAAAACAAAATGGCAGCATTTTACATCTAGGATGGGAGATTGGAAAGAGAAAGAGCAAGGCATGGTGAATTCAGAAATAATGAAGTCTTGACTCCACAGCTGGGTAATCAGGACTCAATCAAATTCTTCCAAAACTTTGGTAGGTGGGAAACACCCAGCCACAATATAATAGGGACATTTCCAAGACTTTGCTAAGTATTATTCATGGAATATTTATTTTTCATTTATATCACTTGTGCTAGACACTAATTACCACCCGCCCCCCATATCTATTCTGTTCTACATCTTTAGCTGTAGAAGAAATAGCTGGATGCATGACCAGCTGGCTGAAGTCTTCCCTTCCCAGAGTCCTTTGCACACAGGTGTGATCATGTGACTTGGTAGGGGCCAATGAAATTTGAGAGCAAACAATGTCCACAACTTTCAGTCAGTGCCCTTGAAAGGAAAGAACATGCTCCCTCATCACCCCTTCTCTCATCTTATGGCTGGAACACAGATGTAGTGTTGAGTATGGCAGAACCACAAGATAGAAGAGTCTTGGTCCCCATCAGCCTACAGCTGCTATAAATCCTGAACTGCTTGTGTTCAAACAGTGATGGGAAAGAGAAATCTATTTCTTTGTTGTTTAAGCCTCTGTTATTTTGTCACCAAATCTGAGTGAGCATTCCAATTAATATCTTTATAAGATCATTTCAAGCTCATTATTAAATTTTAACTGCACCATTACTCACAAGAGGTATATTAGACAAGAACACTTTGTATTAATTTCACAACTGGGAAAACTAATCAAGATCACCATGCAAAAAAAAAATTGGCTTTCTCTGCCATGGAATGGTGTGGGTTAAGGTATAACCCAGACAAGGCTCAAAGTTCATTTGAGAACATAAATGTGGAGTCCTGAGTGGGTTCTAATTGGGCACAACGTATGGTCAAAGGGTCATCAGTTTCAATGAGAAAGTAACTGAAGAGAGTGGAACCGAACAGAGAGTGGAATGAGGAAATTACCTTATTCCCCCAGATACCACAATGGCAAAAGGTCACCTTGTCTCAAGTACAGAATTCTGGCTGGGAGTGTGAAGCTCAGTCCACAGTAAATTGACAGTGCCAGGATTGGAACACAGGTCCACAATTGTTTACAATATTACATTGAATTCTTATTGTTATTTGTGTCAGTCACCATTTATTGAGTGTAAACCATGTGTTGCTCACCATGCTAGGTACTTGATTTAACAGGTAGGGCCTAGAGAACATGTCTGGTACCCAAGATCACACAAATTGCCAAGTAGCAGGGCAAGATTTAGACTTGGACTTGTCTGTCTGTCTCTACTTCCTGTATAAGTTCTACTACCCTGTGTTGCCTCTTTTAAGAGTTCAGCCTGATGATGTAAGATGAAAGAAGAATGAATTAAAAAGTCACAGACCCAAGGTGCAGAACTGAGGGCCTGTAGATTATACAGAAGACATAAAACAGATACTGTGGAGGGGATATTTTATACATGAAACCAGTCCTAAACCAACCGGGATGCATTAAATGTATTGTCCCCAATTCTTCACTCCACTTTGAGCTTGCCGGTGTAACTTTCTTTGAAAGAGTGTGCTACTTCCAAATCTCTGCTTTAAGAGACCTCACATGGTTGAGGTTGCCCTCTAGTGCACCATGGGAGACCTTCTTTCCCTAGGTAACTGCTGTCCCCTTAGCCTGAGACACAGAATTGCACACATGTGGCACAGAGCACTCCTGCCAACCCAGCTAGACAAGCAGATCTGTGAAAACCAATTATTATTGTTGCAAGCCACCAAGTTTGGGATGGTTTATTATTATAGCACTTTGGGGCAAGAGCTAACTGACATATTAATATAATATGAACTTGCACTTGGAGTTTGTCTAGTTGTCTTAATTTTCCACACTGAGTTCCTTTATAGAGCACAAAAATTCAGGCTGTGCATTTGATCTTAGCAAGCATGGGAAGGTGTTAGGGGCAAACAAGGGGCATAATTGCTGAAGTGTGAAGCCAGGATTGTTCCAGACACACAGAAGCTGGAAGGATCGCACACAGAATTGAAGATTTTATTGCTGTGTCCAGCCCTGGATATTTCCCCTAGATAAGACATAATCAGCATAATCTCATGGCATCATGCCATGCTCTACCTGTCCATGTGGAAGCAAGCTGGCTGCCTACACATCTGCATTCATGCCCCTCACGCGCTAGTTTTCTCAGCCTTTGGACTTACAGAGAGCTGTATCCCCAAAAGTTGGTTTATCCTCAGAAATGCTTGGAAAATGCCTGGAGTCCTCAGGGGAAAGAAAGATAGCATCTCCGTAGCCTCAACTCTACTTCTTTCACCCAAACCTCCCAGACTGTGTGGACCTCAATCAGAAAGCACCACTCCTAGAGTCCTGCAGCCTACTGTTCCTAGGCCTGGTGACTTGGAGACATGAGAGTTTGTCTCTTAAGCCCATGTTCTAGGATTCCAAAGACTCTACTGCCTTTCTAATGTTCCCCCTTCCACTTTGTCCCATAGAGAGGAGGGAAATGTACGCACCCTCAGGCTAAGTTCCACATTCTCTCCTCCATAGACCAGCATCCCGCCGTCCAGAGCCCCGATCTCTCCCAAGAAGAGCCTGTCGGCAGCCAGGATGCCCATGAGAGAGGGACTCCTACAGAGCACAAGGCAAGAGTTAACAATAATCAATCAATGCAAAGAAGGTTAGGATGGAGGTGAGAGGTAGGGAGCACCTGGATGCTCTGGCCTTCAGAACTCTTCCTGAGCCTCTTCCTACCCAGAAGACCTTCCTAAATCCTCAGCCTGGACTAAGTGCCTGTAGCCTTCCTTGTGCGCTGAACTGTCATAAATCTAGGCCTAAAAATAATAGCAATAATAATATGACATGATTGTAAAAGAGGGACTGTTTGGGGGGAGGAAGCACAAGAGGGGAAGGAAAGTAAAAGGATAAGGTAATGGGGTTACCCCCATTACAAAATATGATTGAAGTACATTACATATGTATGTGTGTACGAAAATAAACAGTGAAACCCACCAAAAACTGCTTTTGAACAAAAGGAGGGAGTTAAGAAAAAGTAATAGAGGGGGTGAGTTTGATCAAAGTGTTATATGCATGTATGGAAAAACCATAATGAAACGTAATGTATATAATGTACAATTAATTTATCCTAATAAATTTTTAAACAAAATAAAATTTTAAAAACCCTTCTCAAATTACATTGGAACTGCATCTTTTTCATTTGGTAGCACTACTTCGTAGTGGCCCAAGTGTTTTCTAAAACATTATTTTGCTTTTTGTCTGAAACCCTACCAAGCCCCAAATGTCTGTGATTCTTCTATGTGGTCAGCTCATTTGGGTTTCTTTTTTTTAATCCCTTATCCTTCACCCCAGCCCCTCCACTCCTCCATCCCACCTCCATGATTACCACCAAAGATAAACAAACCCATACAGTCTATGCTTTCATTTCCATGTGCCAATCAGGCCTCCTGAGCCCACAGAGACTTACTTCACTGGTGCAGTGACATCATGCAGATCAATCCAGGATTGTGGCAGTGCATCATAGCGGCACCATAGTTCCCAGTTAAACCCATCCACTGCCAGTGCATACTTATGCACTCTGAAGGTGTCAAAACGAATGTTGTCAAACACAGGAGACACAATCACAGTGCGGTCTTCCTGAATCCGAGCCAAGATGGGCTCTGCCCTAGAACAGTGTGTAGGAAACCCAGCTTACATATGAGGGCAAGCAGCAGGAGTGTGCAGATAAAGCTATTCCATGCACCTTGCCATGACATCAAAGATCTTTTTAAAAAGGGTGTGCTGACTCTCCAGAGCCCAGAGGATTCCTACAGCTTTCGAAATAACTGGACTTCAAAAAGCTGACTTGTGTCAAAAGCAGATTTGAAATTTGTATCCAAGTACCACCCCCAGGCCACTGTGAACCAGAGTTGTCAGAATTCTTCCTGAATCTACATGACCCATTGGGGTCCCTGTTTGCAAAATGATGTCTCTTTCATGTGTGACTCTCCATGTTTGTCCACTAATCATGATATCATGTAATTTCAGTGCTAGGAAAAGCATTAGGAATGACAAAAGGGTAATTTCTTCATTTTACAAATAAAAATGCAAATGTCAAGTTAAGTGAAGTGACTTACTCAGAGTTACAAAGTATTTAGCAAAGTTCAGCTGGTGATACTTCCACTATTTCTCTTACCAACTGAAATTTCTGAGTAAATGCCTTTTGTCTTTAGAGATTCCATTTGTTTAAGGCCTGTTATTGACTTTCCCTCTTTACACACTACTCTGTCTTGCATTCCTTCCGTATACAATATCTCAGTTCTGCCCTTCACTAAAGAAGAAATCTTCTGGAGCCTTACCACCCAACGTTCACTTCAATATGAGCATCCAAGATGGCGACCACATCAGCTGTGGCAGCTTCCCAGCCAGTGTTGCGTGCCTGAGCAAGACCTTTTCTCTCGGTGTGCCGTACTATTTTCAGTAGCCCTGGGTATTTCTGGTTGTAAAGCTTAATCTTCTCATCCAAGTGCTCTTTTAGTTCCCCTGACAACCAAACACATACCCATAGGAATACTGAGTGCAAGAATTAATGTGGCGCAGAAATTTCCAAGTATCCCACAACAGTGGTTGGACTACTATAGGAGAAGCAATTCTACAGCCTTGACTGAGGCCGTAGGTCCCCTGCATCTACCTCTTCTCTCCCTTCCACTTGAGATTCAATATTATCACCCTTCATTTTCTTTCTCTCACAATTAAGCTATCCTAAAATGACAATCCTGCCTAGTGATGCAGCCACTGTTACAAGTACATTTTATGTATTGAAAAATTCTTATGAGTAGGACAGAGCTGGTCCAAATAACATGGAAATATTAAGGGACAACTTTGCAGAGACAACCTAGAACATCTCTAAAACTTCCTGGAGACTCCGTAAACAACGGAAATCATTTTGTTTCTCATATTCATAGTTGGTCTACTCAAGAACTAACTGGAACAAATGTGAAGACAGTTTCCCCCCACTCCTTCTAGCTAAAAAATTTACTCTCAAAACTATGCAAAATAGATTTACTAATTCCAAGACCATTTGCAAGTTTTTTCTTCCCTCTCTCCCCTCTCTTTTTATAAAGCCTGTCTATACCTTTGTCCTTTGACTCAGCCTACCCACTGTCTTCTGTACATGTATGAAAATAGCTTGCATGCTAATCACGAAGCAATAAGAAATATGCCTAACTAAATGACATACACCAGAGTATCTTTCCATGGATGTGTTTTGCCTCATCCATTAAGATGGGCACTTCTTGAAACCTCTGACAACTTCTTCCCTGTACAGCCTGGCACACAGTAGAATCTTAAAAAATAGTCATTGATTGTGGAATTTGCCTAAAATTTGGGAGAAAATACAGGATCACAACTACACTGACATAATTTCTGAAAATCTCACATAGCTCTATCAGTACTTAAGACATTTGACTGATGCAAACAAAACTTCATGTCTAGGGGGAGGGAGGATAAAAGAGAATGATGAGGGGTGAATTTAACTAAGCTATATTGTAAGAACTTTGGTAAATGTCACAGTGTACCCCCAGTACAACAATAATAATTGAAAAAAAGATAAAACAAAAAATAACAGACAATAGAGCTAATAGTAAAAAAAAAAAAGAAGAAAAACTGAACACCTGACTCATGTTACCATCCTCTCAAGAATGTTCCGTTGATTTCACCCCATCTTTGAGATTAACTCCAAACTACTCAGCCCGATGTTCAAGAACCTGCATATCCTACATTTTCATTCCTATTTCTTCCTTCTATTAATATTCTTTCTTATGGTATGGCTGTTGATCACATGCTTAGGAAAATGCATAAAACAGAGTGATTATTAAAAATGGGGAAAAAACACATCTGGAAAAAGAAAGAAAGTGGGAAAATTTCCAATATCACATGTGCTTCAGCAGTATCACAGATTACACTGAGTGAGCGGGGAGTACTAACACTAGCTAGCATTTATTGAGAACAAGCCTGGCCTGAGGACTTTGCACATATTACTTAGTCCACAGGACGGCAGATGCCATTTTTTCCCACATGTTACAGATGTGGAAACTGAGGTATAAAGTAATAGAGAAGCTGGCCCCTGAAGTCATGTGGCTGGGAAGTTTCTGTCATGGCATGCATAGTAGAGACTAATGTTTTCTTCAGTTTAGCACAAAACAGATTTCTCAAAGATGCTCAGTGAGGCCTGGTGAGCTGGTAATGCCTGACGGCTCTCTTCTTTGTGCCCACCCAAAATTATCATCTCTGGGAAAAGCAAGAGTTTCCAAGACCTGAGTGACAGGGATATGCTATGTGATGGTAGTAACTTTACGAGTATTAGGGAGCCTTGCTCAGTTCTCTTTATGTGTCTGCCCTCCATTTGTAATTGGGTACTTCTGGTTTTATCATTCCACAGGAAACACTCTTGAATTACATCTTATCTACCTACCACAGGGCATGCAGTCACAGAGAACCATTGTGGATCCCCCCCAACACACACACAGACACACACACGATATCGGTAGTAGTCTTCCAGCTCAACCCTTGTGTCTGTCCCATGAAGAAGCTAAGTCACAGGGAGGTAAGAAAACAATTTGCCCAAGATTGTCTCAGACAGCAAGGGAGTGCAGTCAATGTTTCCTGAACAAAGATGGATGAAATTAGCCATTCTCTTTTCTTTAGTTATCAGAATTTGCTCTAGAAATTGTATCATCTTATTCCTCATTCAATTACATTGGAAGAATGAGAGAAGATATGTAAAGGAATAAGTATTTTTCAGTGTCTGTACACTCCAAAGGAAGGTCTAAGTGGCCACTGTCTCTGTAGCTCTCTCCTCAGAAAAACCTTGAAGCTACACGAACCCATCTGGCACTTTAAGACTCCCAGAGAATGAAAACATTCTTCCTCAGATGGACTTCTGCGGTGTAGCCCAAACAGTTGGACAAATCTTCCTGACCACTATCCAAAACCTCTGGTTTTATAATTTCATTCTACTTTCTTTTATGGTGCTCCAAATTAATAAGACTAAGAGCTAACACTTGCTGAGAGGTTACCATGTGCTAAATGCTCTGCATAATTCACATGTGATGTCAGTGAGCAAAGTGTTCAGAGCTAGACTCTGAAGTTCATGGTCAAATCACAATTCTGTCGACACCCTACTTGACTAATCGACACCCTACTTTTAACATCTATGTAATTTGCAAAATAAAACCCAAAAGGATCACAGGGTTATTGTTGTGATTCAAATAGTCAACACAGGTAGGGTATTTGGCAAATAGTGTTAGCCATTATTATCTCATCCAATTTTCAATGTAGATCATCAAGTAGATATTACAACCAACTTCCATGTTTTATACATAAGGAAAGCATGGCATGGAGAAGTTGTTACCCAGGGACTTAAATTCATAGCCCTAGCTCCTTCCTTGACTCAGGCCCACTACCTGCCACTTCCCCATGTGTCTTCCTTAGGTACTTGGGGCAGGAACATCCTGAAGCAAGACAGTGGCCACTGTGGGGAGTCTTCACACCAAGGCACTCTGTTTTCCAGGCTTACTCACCTAGGAAGGTTGCTCTTGTAAGGATCAGCTCTGAATGTTTATACAGTGGGTGTCTGAGGTCCTTCCTGGGATCCTACCCACCCTATCCCCTCAGGTTGCCTTCACAGGGCACGGAAAAGGCACAGGAAGTCCCAAGGACCTTGTTATGATCCCAGTTCCACACTGACTTGCCATGCAGCATGAGTTCACTGTGTGATCTTTCTGTGTCTTACCTGTGCAATCAAGATAATGCTCTTCTGTCTTGGCTTTGTGGAAATTAAATGTGGCCAGCACAAACGAGCCCTCAGGTGTCCCAGCCTCCAAGTTAAACCCTTTTCAGCCAAGCACAGATGATGAATGGCAACTTTTACAATTATTCTTTGCTCAAGTTTCTTACCATTTGAGCTAAAATCATCCACCAAGATGATTTCCTTCAACAACTGAGGAGGGGTCCGGCTGATAACACTGATGATAGCCCGCTGTATGATGGACAGAGCTTCATCCACAAATATGAGAATGACACTGAGGGATGGGAGTGGGGAAGGGTATGTCTTCTGAAGACACCTGTAAGAGACCATTTTTATAACCCTGTTGTTTTTTCATCATTTAAAAACTGCTATCCAATCTTCCCACACAGGACAGATGATGTTGATATCTTTCAACTCATCAAATTCCCAAACTCACTAGGGAGGGGAACTCTGAGTTGTCTATCCCAATAGCAAAAAAAGGTTTTATATTTATTCATCCACAATTCTTCTGCTGCCCAGATAAATCCTTTTCTTTTTCATTAATCTTCAGTAGATACTTTCACTTGAAAGGTCAGCATATCACAAAGGAATTCCCATTGCCCTCTCCCATCCCTGAATTATCTTCCTTGCCAGCAGCTTTATTTCTATCATGGCCACCAGCCTATACCCATGTTCTCAGTCCTCTAGTCACCTTAGACACAACCACTCCTTCACCTCCATGAAGAGGAAGCAAACAATTCCAGAGAATTGTACTTGACACATGCTTAAGTAATAGCATATGTTTGCGGACTGCTTGCGATATGCTAGGTGCCTGCTTACTGTTATTAGAAAAGCTTTATTGATGTAATGATTGACAGATTTTTTTAATTACACATATTTAATGTATATAATTTCATGAGTTTAGATATATGCATACGCCTAGGATACAACTATCAAATTAAGGTAATTAACATGGCCACAACTCCAAAAGTTTCCTTGTTTCTCTTTGCCATGTATGTACGTGTCTGTGTGTTAAGAACACAACATGAGATCCATCCTTTTAAGTTCTTTAAGTACATAAAATTGTATTGTTAACTTTATTTCCAATATGGGGCCAATTATGAACAATGCTGGCACATGTGCTTTCATTTCTCCCACATAAAGTCATGGGCCACGTAATGGTTCAGTGGTGGTCCCATAAAACCACCATAACCTCACCGCTGCCTTAGTTTATCTAAGTACACTCTATTATCTCCCCACCATGACAGCATCACTTGAAAGAGGGAAAGTGGAAGGATTCCAAGATGGCGGCTAGAGGTAGGAAGCAGAAAGCGACCCTCCTATAGTGAAATCTTGGAGAGACGCTGGAGACACACTTTGCAGGCATAATCACCGAGAAAAGGCATAACTTTGACCCCTCCACACTCCAGCCGGTGCAGAGAATCTCACTTCACGTTAAACGGAGAAACGAGGAGGGCCCCCGGGCCGCCAGTGGCCGGCGCCCATACGGCTTGGGAAGACGCAGACCAGGTGAGCTTTGCGGAACCTCCACAGACAAGCCTGGGCCAGAGCAGCATAGCCCCCTGGACAGACTGACCTCCACCCGGGGAAAAAAAAGAGAAACTGAGTAATAAGCAATAAGAACAGTTAAGACACGCTGGAAAGAGGGTGGGGCCCCTGAGCCTGAAGATTGGGGGAAGGGAATCCTTCCCGGGACTGTAAATAAACAAGCCGGGCGGGCCGGAGAGCCTCTGGCGGGAGCGGGGGCGCCCAGCAACCAGGAGTGGGAAGCTTTGTGAGAGGAGGGAAGACCCACTTCCCACGTGAACTGTAAACAAACATGGCGGCCGGCAGGAGCAGCAGCACCGCCCAGTAAGCAGGAGCAGGAAAGCTTCGAAAGTGGCAGTGGGAGGAAAACTTCAGAGGAGAGGGGGAAGACCCACCTCCCACATGAACTGTAAATAAACACACAGGCCTGACAACGCGGGGCAGTGTCACCTTTCCCAGTGCTTGGAAAGGGGAAAGCCTGTAGCAGAGGCTCCCACAGGAGAACTCTGAGCAAACAAAGCCTGTGGGACCAGGTGAGTGCTAAGCTCACCCCAGAGATCTGCATAAATAACGCCGCCGCAGCTACAGGCTGAGAGCAGCAGGCAGGCAAGCCACAGTTGCAGATACCACTCTCAGAACTGTCTCCAGACCTTTTTTTTCTTTTTCTCCCTACCTTTGATGAGAGAACAACCGAATTACACCTGCAAGCTGAAAAACTTACTGAAACTGTATTGCATTTGAACTTGGGACACTTGGTGGGTTTTTTTGTTGTGTGTGTGTGTGTGTGTGTGTAGTTTGTTCTACTTTATGCATCCCCTTTGATGAGACAACTACAGAACAACATCTGAGGCACCATCTCCAGGACTGGAGATGAGACGGACACCAAATTATTAAGACTGAAACTGCATTGCATATAAACTTGGAGTTTTTTGGTTTTTTTTTTTAATTTTCTATTTTCCATTTTATTTTAATTCATTTTTATATATAGATATTCTTTCATTTACTTATTTTTTATTTTTTATCTTTGATTTTCAATCCTCTCTCTGTCTCTCTAATGTCTGTTCAGCTTACTGTCGATTAGTACACTAACACTCCCTGTTTATACCTTTGAAACTCTCTTGTCTGATACCTTGTTCTGCTTTCTCCCTCTTGTCTGTATATTTGTTTTCCCTTTTCTTTAACTTCTTGCTTTCCATCTCAGCTCACTTCCATTCTAAATATTACCATTGTTATTATTACAAGCTAGAAAATACTTAATTGCACACAGTACAGGGACAGTAACAACACCAAAGACAATGACGGAAGACAGAAAAAACAGGGAAACCAGTTTCCCCACAGCAAAAAATTAGTACAGGAACCAGAGGGGAATGAAGAGAACAGAAACTCAGATCCAGACTCCAACAAAATGAAGATAAACTATGCCAAAGGACCCAATGAAGCCCACAAGAATAATTTAAAAGAAGACATACTACAAGTACTCAATGAGAATTTTATAGAGATGATACTGGATAGGGTCAACCAAAATGTACAGGAGACACTCAAGAAATTCCAAGACAATAAAAATAGAGAATTTGAAAAAGCAAAAGAAGAAATAAAGGAAACCATAGAAGCACTGTAAACACCAAAGTGAAAGAGAGAACACAATGAATAAATGGATAAATGAACTCAGGACAAAAATAGACAACATAAAGAGAAAACGCCAGGATATGGAAAACCTCAGAAAAAGAACGAAACAGAACTGCAAAACAAAACGAAGGCCAATCCAGCAGAATAGAACAAACAGAAGACAGAATCTCAGAACTTGAAGATGAAATGGTAATTAAAGGAAAAACCAAAGAACTATTAATTAAACAACTCAAGACCTGTGAAAAGAAAATGCAAGAACTCACCGACTCCATCAAAAGACCAAACTTGAGAATCATGGGCATCGAAGAAGGAGAAGAGGTGCAAGCGAAGGGAATGCATAATATATTCAACAAAATAATAACGGAAAATTTCCCAAATCTAGAGAAACATATTCCCATACAGATGCAAGAGGCCTCCAGGACACCAAACAGACCAGATCAAAATAGATCTACCCCACGCCATATCATCATTAAAACAACAAGTTCAGAAACTAAGGAAAGAATATTGAAGGCAGTAAGAGAGAAAAAACAAGTAACATACAAAGGTAAACCCATCAAAATCACAGCAGACTTCTCAACAGAAACATTAAAAGCAAGAAGAGCGTGGGGTGAGATCTTTCGGGCACTGAATGAAAATAACCTCAAACGCAGGATATGAAATCTAGCAAAACTATCATTCAAAATAGATGGAGCAATTAAAAGTCTTCCATGATAAGCATAAACTAAAACAATATGTGACCAAGGGATGCCTGCACACAGAAAGTGACACCCCAACTTAACATGAAAAGGCAGGCAGCCACCAAACCACAGGATAAGAAACAAGCAAGAAGCAGAGAGAGTACATCAAGCTAGTACACACATCAAACCTTCAAACACAACTAAGACAAACTAAATGCAAGGAATCACCCCTGACCTTCAGTAATAACACTTAATGTTAATGACTTATTCACACCATCAAAAGACTATCGTTTGGACAAAATGGATTTAAAAAGAAAGATCCAACAATTTTGTTTGCTTACCAGGAGACTCATCTACACAAAAGCACCGACAGAAATAAGCATATCTTAGGATGAAAGCTGGAAAGAAAGATTTACCATAGCCAATGGCCCCGAAAACCGGCAGGAAATAGCAATACTTATCTCTGCAAAGTAAGACTTCAAACACCTACATTGATCAACTATGAGATAAAGAAGGAATTCCATACTAATAAAAGGGGAAATAGACAAAAGGAATAAATAAATCATCATTCTGTATGCACCCAATGTCAACGCACACGCCATTCATCAAACATACCGCTGAAAGACCTACCAAAGCATATATTATGCCAAGCACAGTGGTTGTGGGAGACTTTAACACTCCATGTATCATCCAACCAATACGAGGTAGGTCAATACCAAACAAAAACTCAATAAAGAAAGTCCAAGATCTAAAATATGCATAGATAGTGACCTAGTAGAATGTCTACAGCCAATTTCATCCAACCTCTGACACAATATACATTCTTTCCAAGCCAGCCCATGGAACGCTTCTCCAAAAATAAAGATCATATCCTAGGCACAAAAGCAAGCCCTCAGCAAATATAAGAAAACAGAAATAATACCGTGCATACTATCTGACCACAATGCGTAAAAGTAGAACTCAACACAAAAGTAAAGACACAACATGCAAACAGCTGGAACGAAATAACTCATTACTTAATGAAGAGTGGATCATCGATGCAAATAAAGAGGAGAATTAAAAAGTTCTGGGAAGTCAATGCAAATAGAAAAACACAACTCACCGGAACCTATGGACACAGCTAAGGCAGTCTTGAGAGAAAGTTTATAGCCATGAGTGCATATATTAAACAGATAAAGATCCCAACATGACCTAATGATACAGTTCAAACTCCTAGAAACAAGAACAAGCAAATCCACAAACAAATAGACAGGAGAGAAATAATAAAAATAAGAGCTGAAAAACGAAATAGAACAAAAAAACCATAACACAGAATTAATGAAACAAAAAGTTGGTTTCTTTGAAAAAATAAAACAAGATCGACTAGACCCCTGGCAAACCTGACTAAAATGAGGAGAGAAAAAACCCAAATTAGTAGAATTAGGAATGCAAAAGGGGAGATAACAACAAACACCATGGAAGTCCAGGAAATCATCAGAGACTACTT